GGAGGGATTCGGCCTCCTAGAGTTTTTTGTAAAACTTAATGTTGATGCATCTTTTGATCAAGACCTTCTTAACGGCATAGCTGGCGCTATTATTAGAGATGATAAAGGAATTTTTATTATTGGCGGAAACAGGAGAATTGAGTGCTGTGCAGATGTTTTAACGGTAGAAGTTCCGGCGCTAAGATTCGGATCCCTTGTGCAAAAGGCTGCCTCCGGGAGGGGCAATTTTTGAGGATTGTTATTTTCTTGCTTGTGATTTTTTCTTTACTTGTTTCGAACATATTAACAGAGAAGTGAACAAAATTGTTCATGAGCTTGCTAGGTTAGCTAGATTTTCTTCAGCTAACTATTAGTTTGAGGAGCCTGAGCGAAACTATTATTTCAAATCAATAAAATGTATTTTTCAAAAAAGTTGGATTGACCCATTTTTTTTTAAAGTTGGACTGACCCCATCACACGAATATTCGCACCCGGAGTGGGGAGTTTGGCGACCCGACGGTTCTGCGTAACCGACAGGCAGGGCGGTGGGACACGGCACGGCACGAGGCAGGATTTAGCAAGCGAGCGGCCCGCGCGCAGCCCCCCGAAGATAGCCCCCCTCCTCAGATCCAGGGGCCGGTCCACCCCCCTCCGCCTGAAATCAACCCCCCCGTCGCCCTATCCGCGGCACGGCCACGCTCGCTTGCCTGCCTGCTTCCCCCCAATCCCTCTCTTCCTCTCCTCGCAGAGGGAAGAAGAAGAAGAAGCCCGATTGGTCACCCCTCTCCCCGAATGGGAGGTCGGTCGATCCCGCGCCAATAAGCAGCACCTCGGCGGGTGGGTGGGTGGCCGGGGGGATTGCTTCGCTCGCCCCGCTCCTTCCTTCGATCCAGCCGATCGATCCCAGTCGAATCCAATCCAATCCAATAATTTACTCTACTTCTCCTCGCCGGCCGCCGGCCGCCGTCTTCGCTTCGCTTGGACCTCCCACCCGGTTGGTTGGATTTTAGAAAGTTTCTCCCGTTCTATCCATCCTTCTGGTGAGTACCTTACCATTCGGTTACTTGTCTCCTCCCCCTTCGGTGTCCCGTTCTCTGTTTCTCTGCCCCGTCTTACGATGGTTGTTTCTCCTGGCAGTTTCGATTTGGGATCTTTAGTTCATCGGCTGCCCGGCGGTTTCTCCAGCCCCATTTGATTTCACTTAGGTTTGGTTTGATTTGATGACGCCTCTTCTGATTCCTTTGCTCTAGAGTAATATACAGTAATTTGCAAAAGAAGAAAACCGATCGATTTTTTCGTGGTCGCGCTGAGGATAATGGCGTAGCGGTTGGATGTTACAAGCAAGGCCGTAACTTGCAAGGCTGGCATGCCACCCATGTTCTGTCTCTAATTAATGACTGCGATTGATTGTGATTTGCCAGGCTAAACATCTCTGTTCAATTCATTCATGGGACGTATCATGCCCGCTAGTTTGATTTGATACCAGAGTGCCAGTTGCTTTCAGAATCTTCCTTTTCTTGAAACTTTTCTTCTTTTGACCGTTTTAGTGACCCGTCGTTCTTGTCCGGCTACTCTGCTCCGAAGAACGAAGAAATGTGTTCATACACTGCAGATAGATGGCAGAATGGGAAAGTGGCAACTGGCAAGCATCTTGCTTGGATAATTCGGGATGGGTCGATATAGGAGATAATTCGATGCGCATTGACCAGATGTGGCATCTACTAAAGCACTGTATTTTCTTGCGCAGGTCCATTCAGTACTCAGCATATCCGTTTGCCTTCGATCGAGCAAGAATATATACGCAGCCGGCTCGTGCCAGACATGGAGCACGCGATGCCGACGATGGCCGCAGAGTCCGAGGGCGCGACCACCGACGACGACGTGCACCTTTCCCCGACCAGTGTCAGCAGCGGTGGCGGCGGAGGAGGAGGAGGCCCCCCCAGCGTCCGCTTCAAGATACTCTGCAGCTTCGGCGGCCGCATCATGCCCCGCCCGTCCGACGGCGCGCTCAAGTACATTGGCGGCGACACCCGCGTCCTCGCCGTGCCCCGCTCCATCCGCTTCCGCGGTACGTACGTCGTGTCCATGCCTTGTTGATGCGTGTGTTTCTTGTTGCTTTAATGTCGCGGCGCGCTCAAGTCTCTTCTCCCCGGCGTGCAGATTTGAAGAAGAAGGTGGAGGAGATGTTCAAGACGGATGTGGCAGCCATCAAGTACCAGCTCCTCTCCTCCGACGATCTCGATGTGCTCGTGTCCGTCACCTGCGACGAGGACCTGGCCCACATGCTCGACGAGTACGACCGGTTCGAGGCGAAGCGGTCGCCGTCCGCGTCGCCCCGTTTCCGCGTCTACGTCTTCGTGCCGCATCAAGTCTCCGCCTCGTCGGTCGCCGCCGCCGTCCCCGCCCCCGTCTCCTCTTCGCGCCACGTCAGCTACGCCCGCAACCAGCCGCACTACCATCATCGCCACCACCTCCTCCAGCCGGAGCGGGAGCGCTACGTGACCTCGGTGCCCGGCACGCCTGACGGAAGCCCGCCGTACCCGGACCAGCCCAACGGCGTCGCCTCGGCGGGGAACTCCCCGCGCGCCAACATCGTAGAGCAGGCCGTGTTCCGCGGCGGGATGCAGCGCGTCCGGAGCTCGCCCAACCTCGGCGGCCTGAACGCGGCACCGCTGCCCTTCCATGACCACGCTGGGGACAGCCCCGGAGGCCTGGCTGGATACATGAGCGGCTCGCCGGTGCACCCGGGCGCCGGCCACATGTTCTCGCAGGCTAGCTACAACCCCTACCGCAGCCCACAGCCGCAGTACTCTCCAGCGCCCGTGCCCGTGCCGCACCACGCCGGCGTGGCCGGGAGGTACGACACGCGTGGCGGTTACGCGCGAGGCGGCAGCTACATGGCGGCGCCGCTGGCGCCAGCGCTCCGGTCTGGTCGGCCGGTCACCAGGAGCGGCGGGGCGCCGTACAGCGAGATGCAGACGCCGAAGAAGGCGGCGACGATATGGGACTGAGGTGGTTCTGCAGCGGTTCGGTTCAGGGCCTTGGAGTTGGAGGCAGTAACTTGCAACTTGCTTGAGATGTAAATACATGGATACTTCCATGCGGCCTTGTTAGCAGGCTGTTTTGTCGTTGAAATGTTATCCAGGCTGAGAATTAACAAGTTTTCTTCACATATCAGGGCTACCCTCTGTGGCTGGAATGCCTTAACTGTTTTTCATTGTGCACCGAACTGTCTGATCGTTTTATGTTGAACGTTCGAACGTCTGCTTTGCTCCTCTTCCTCCCGCTTCACTGCTTTGCTCGTCTTCTCTTAAGCAACACTGTAGGAGAGTCGCCATAGCAGTTCGATCGCCATAATAACCCTCGTTACAATGCTATCTTCTCTTAGGCAACAACTCTAGCGGAGTCGTTATATCAACCCGGTCAGCATAATGACATTTTAGTGATTTTTGTCGAAGAAGCTACTCTAGCAGAGTGGTAATCTAGCCCTCGATGGCCATAGTTTTTGGAGGGTGCTCCAAACCTACCCGTGAGCCTCCATATTTGGGGGATATTGGAGGTTGTTTGGAGCCCGCTTCATTCGAAAATGGTTTGGCGTGAGTAACATTTTCCCCTCGCTCTACTCTTCCTGCCCTCGCCGCCGCCGACCGCTCCTACCCACCTCCAATCCCCGCGGTCCGCGGACGACGCCATGGACGCCGCCTCGACCCCCACATGTTAGCCCATCGGTATGGAGTCAAATCTGGCGACTTTAATAGTGCCTTCACCTCCGACGACAGGCCACCACCGCCTAGGTCAACACTTGGTCCACCCTACTGGCGCAGAGGTGGCAAACCCTATGCTACCACGGCTTGGCGGCGGGATCACCCCCCCCCCTTCCCTCCCGAACCGGTCTGGTCCTCAGCGAAGAGACCGAATGCGGGGAAGGGCCGCGCTATTGCCCTTGATTCTTCCGACGTCAGGCGAAACTGGGACTCTTTCCTAGTTCTACGCCAGACCAGAAACCGTCATGATGTAAAAAAAACTATCATTTGCATAGTATTCATTTTTTGTTCGACTGAATGCGAGGTGACCATGCAAAATTGTTGGCAAATATGCAACGTATGCAATTTTGCGATAATTTTGTGGGGGGATTGACCCTCAACAATGAATTGTTTCTCGATAGCATGATGTGTGATCTGGGACAAATAATGTAGATCTCAAGGGCGCATTGTTGCCGCTTTTTGATCACATGTATGCCCTAGATATGAAATATGATCAATATGAGGCCTCTGGCTCGTCAAGGAAGAAAGCAGTTCGAGGAAGCAAACTTTAAGGCCGATGATGATATTGATCTTCTTATGACATGGGAAGAATCTCTCTCGACGCAATCGCCGGGAAAGGCCAATCAAGTGCAAAGTATTAGAAGCGCATCAAGTACTATTTCAAACAACATCTTGGGCGAAGAACATATCGTACCCTGAAATCTTTCACAAACCGATGGGGTAGAGTTCAAGATATGTGCAACCGTTGGTTGGGTTATTTGGAGCAAGTGAAGCATGCTCCTCCTAGTGGTGCCACCATTGACCAATATGTAAGCAATCTTGTTGTTTTTCATTGCCACATTTGCGTTAACTTTGGGCATTACCGACAAATGACCAAGCCGAAGGGAAATTTGTTTGGCTTCCAACATTGTTAGAATTCGTAGGAAGGACTGGAGAAGTTGAAGACAATAAATGATGATGGTGGTTCAGAAACTGGGAGGAGCAACAGTTCCTCTCTGAAGATGGACGACCGTGAAGATGATGATGGTCCTTGAGAGGAAAGGGAAAAGGTGCCTAGAAGTCCCACACTAGAGTCTAGCACGGGTTTGCTGGACATGAGGAAGAGAGGAAAGGAGAAGGTCAAGAGAGAAGTAGAGGTGGATGCGATGAAGAAAAATATCAACGAGTTGGTGAGGACAAGAAACGAGTTCGTCGAGAAGATGAAGCAAGAAAAGTTAGAGATGGGGGAGAAGAAGAACCTAGAGAAAAGGATGAGATGGAATGCTATACAAGAGAGGAGACGACGACACGAAGAGACTGAGGCGCAGATGCTCCAAATTCAGATGAACATGGAGGCACTTAGCCTTCAAATTCAGGAGGTTCAGGGGACTACTAAATGCATAGCCAAGCAGAATCGACTCGTCACATGTTGGATCCGAGCCAAAGGTATCCAGTGGCGTGAGAAATTTGGAGAAGACGTAAATGGTGATCATACATTTTAGAAACCTCAATAGTGCACACGCTAGAGTAGGAGGGAATGGTGCAATAGCCGGCAACATCTGATTTGTACATATCACCGGTTAATGCTTTTGTGAAACAAAGCCGTGTCTCGAGCAACACCGAACACGTGAGAAAACAACACACCACCTTGACTTCCCCGATCAACGCACCATTCACCCGTGATTGCCTAAAATAGGTTGGCAAGTAGGTGGCAGGACTTGATCGGTCTCGAGAAAGGCCTCGTCTTGGATGCACCAACGATAGTGTATGTAGCGCCCCTGAAGCTCAACCTAGGGCAGCAACGAGCACCAAAGGATGGCGACACATAATCTCCATGCCATGTCTCCATACACGATGCTCCCAACAGAGGAACTACGTTGAGAGCACCGCCACCGCCGATTCAAAACCGAACCTAGGCTTTCACCCGGAGACAATAACAAAACACCAATGCGAGGGGGAGATGTCGACAGACCTGAGCGATGCCTCCAAGGAGGGGAACGACACCCACGGGTGCCGTCACCACCGACACCGCCCGAAGACGGACATGTATTTTGTTCGTAACATCACACGCCTCCAACCCCTCCCACCGGATTTGGGTGACCGGACGAATGCCCACACACCAGCCTAGTCCTACGTGGCACACAAAAACTGCTAGAATGCGCCAAGATTCGTGCAAAATTTGTTGGACGAGGATCCATGCGTGTGGGCGAGTTGTCGGACGCCCACACGTGTGGGCGTTAGTCTTTCCGTAACTTTATACTAACTTTTGTATAAATTTATACTAAAATTAAGACATTTATTTTGGGACGGAGAGAGTATTATGTAGGGTCAATGTACTAGTTGGTATCTTTTTTTTTAAACACAGTAGAATCACATATTCTCACATACACACATACACTCATTCATATATGTATACAATATCCAAAACTGCTTGATAGAAGTCCCCATCTTGTTTACTTTGGATTTCAGTCGTATTGAATCCTAGGGTGGTGTGCGGTCAGCAATCCAGATAGGCTCTTGAGATGGGGATAGAACACCGGACAAGGACACGACGTAGCACAGCCGTACAGGTCTCGTCTCCGCAACCCTCTTCAGTGTTGCGCATCCCATTCCCATGTCTATCTGAGGCCTCTATCTGAGACCAGAAAGCTACAACCAGCGGACCGCACTAAAGCACACACTATACATGACAACAAGCAACGCACCATCAACGGCAGTAGCGCTAACAATCCAAATGGATCACATAAGATAGTCGTTGTTAGGATCAGCTCAGCTAGTCGATTTCATTAATCTATGGCTAGGATCAGCACTCCGGCTCAGCAGGTTTAATCCATCAACCTGCTGAGCTACGTCATTTTTTGACATTTTTTTTCCTAAACGCTGTCTAACGAGTACGCGCGATCCAGCGCTCCCGAGCGGCCGCACCACGACCGTCCATCGCGTGTGACACGTGGCCTGGGTGGACCGACCAGGTGGGTGACGTTTTTTTGTCGGGGCGCTTCAAAATTTCGGGAGACGCGCTGCTTCCTATCCTGCCGTTTCCCCGTTCCCCACCTCACACCCTCTCCTGGCGACGAGCCAAATCCCGCTCGAAATCCCTAGCTTCGCCGCGAGCGCGGGCGGCGAGAGGGCCGGTGACGAGTTCGATTCAACGAACGCGGCGAAGGCCCGACGAAGGACCCCGTAGCAGTTCGCCGAGGCGAGGGCGGCGCGCGCGTGCCGTACATGGAGGAGAAGGCAGCGGCGACGGGGGAGAGGGGTGGAGCTGGTGGTTCAGCGCGAGGCGGCGACGAGCACCCGGAGAGCGAGATCCCGCTTTGCTTCGATGACCTAGGTGAGTTCATCCCACCTTTTCCCCCTCCCG